GGGGGGGGGGGGGGAACACTCAGCGTGTGACAGCATGAAACTCCCCAGAAGCACTCTCTCTCTTTCTTTCTCTATCACTCTCACCTGCACGCCAGTTCGCTCTATCTCCCTCGTGCATACGGCGGTGAGATAAGAGGGAACGGACGGCACGTGTTCGCATTAGAAAATTAAAAGTCGACTTTGCGGGATTAATGGTTCCGTGATGCAACGCGTTAGCGCGGGCGTCGCGTCGCGACGAAATGCCGTGTCTCGACGAACACGAGATATAATCAACGACCGCGTCCCACTGACCCATTACACCCACCTGTGTCTTCGAAAATGTATTTATAACGCGGGATATTTCAGCGCGCAGATAATATATCCCGCGTACACGGGATTACGCGATGAACGGGATCAATAATTCCGCAAACACGGCTAAACGTGTCCCGGTCGTGATGCTTAAACACGAAATCAACACAAATCAGCATAAATCAACGTACCGCGGTGACGATATTATAGTCGTCGCATACCGAAAGAAACCCCCTCTCGACCGAGGTTCAGAGTCGCTAAATAAACAACGTAACATTATTTACCCTCATGGCGGACTTTACGCTCGGTCGAGTTTTTGTTCCCGCAATGTTGTCGCCGGTGTAAAAATAAATAATCGTCGGGACACGGATGTCCGACGAGAGTGGGACGACGACTCTCTCTCTCTCTCTCTCCCTCTCCCTCTCATGACTCGAACCGCCATGAAAAAATACGACAGTGAGTCAGGCAAAATGGCAGGTTACAGATCGCAGCTTGCTCGCGAAGAAGAAAAACGCCAATTTCGCGCTCTTAACGAAGCCCTTTCCAGCTAGCTAGGTTGTCGCACTTACCCGCGCGCACAAATGGTCATCGCGTTCCCGTGGTGATGGCGGTAGTTCTAAAAGGTGCCTGGACGCGCCCAGCCCATGTTCCTTGCGCGATCGACCCCGCACACAGCTCGAGGATGTTTTGGACCCGCGATCTACGCGCGAATATTCGAATCGTGACCTGAACACGCGCGCGGCACTGATCCCGACCTCGCATAACTGGAGGTTAGTGACGTAATCTCCGCGGAGGCGGGGATGGAGGGGAGAGAGCGGCCGCGAATCGCAGGATTCGAGATGTGTGGCACCGAACGCGCGACAACCACGAAGAGTTCAAAGTCACGATGTATCATCCTATACCATGAATAATAGAGAGAGATACAGTGAGGGAGACGAGAAGAGGGAGAGAATGAGCGAGAGGGAGGGGGAGATAAAAAGAGGGATCGGATCGGCGAAACTGTTCGGTCGAACGAATAAAATTTACTGGAGCGAAAGTTGCAACTCGGTCGGACAAATTGTATAATTACCGTGATGGATGATTAATTCATTTAACGAGGGCGATTACATCGGCAAGATTGCATCAACACAATTTTCCGTTGCAACATACAACAGCGTGTAATTTAAAGTAAAAATACCAATAAACACTGATATCAAAGAATTGGCGTATAAACTGCATTTTACATATGCTTAGTTGCCATTTATCAAGGTGCTTAGTAGTCATTTATCAAGGACAACACTGTTACCTAACCCTGAAACTCTAACTGTTGAGAATATATATAAATATATATTTTCTATATATTAAAAATTTAAATATATATTCACATTTAAAGACCAAAACAATAAGAATGTTCAGTTAGGTATCAGTTTCATTGTCTAGACAATGATACTTTTACTTTGGTCCTCTCGTTCTTCAAGCTGCAAATTTCACGAAGTCTAATTAAAAATAGAGTTATCGAATCGAGTGAATTTTATAAGAAGAATATGCTCTTTCTCAAGAGTAATATCAGAAAATAATTCTTAATCTTTCCTTTCTAATTAAATTAGCCAAATTTTCAATAAATTGACATTAAACTTAGAAGCGCTGAACGGCTGAAAGAATATACTATAAAATGTACCAAATAAATATTAGATTTGCGAGCAATTATCTATATATGTCGAGAAATTATATTATTAATTATATTAACTGTATTATCATTAATGGCAGCATTAATTAACGATTTACGTTCGAGGGAGAACAGTTGACTGTGTAAGTTACTTCTCTCGCGGAGTTCTCGTGACTCTCTGGTGTTAACGCACTTCTTGATAACTTTGCAGAATTTATTCCACGACAATCGTCCCGTCGAAATCAACGAATCGATGTCGAAAACTCAAACGAGTTTTGCTAGCTTAGAAACTGGCCGGATGTCCCCATCACAACGGGAAGAGAGCGGGGGCGAAGGGACTGTCTAAAAGCGATGGAGAGTGACGACGAATCACGTACCGAGTTGGAAAGCGAATCTCTTTTTCGACCTTGTCATTGAGCAATATTATTCAACGGCGGATTTGTCGGTCTAAGCGAGTTTAGCGAGGAAGGCCGCGGATCTACACGTTCTCTCTCTTCCATAGATCGGTGAACGCCGCTTAAAACCACAATGATATCGCCGTTTGGAAAATCTTCTATTTCGCGAAACACAAGCAAAAAGAGAAATACGAACGCGAAGAATTAATCCGAAAATCGGGAGAAATTGCACCGCGAATCACCGAGAAGATTCACCCGGTTTTTCCAGACTTCTCCGATGAAAGAGAAATCGCCCGAGTTTCCCCGATACTTCTTCAGAAGGGTGACAGCCGGCGGAGGAAACAACTCAGGCCAGCTGAGCACGGCGCTCTATCGTTCTCTCACGTATGAACGAGAGAAAGAAAAAGAGAGATAGAGAATGAGTGAGTGAGTGAGTGAGAGAAGGACGGACGACGTGGCGCAGGGGACGAGGTGGATCCGTCTAAAGGTTCGGCAAGGTAAGGGTAAGAGCGTAAGGGTGAAGCTCGGTCAGCCGGGGGCGATATGCTGTGAGTATCGACCGCGTCGCCAGCCATCGGAGACGCTTTCGTACGTTAAACGCGACCGTAGAGAGAGAAAGGGAAGGGCCGCTGAGGGAAAAGCGTGAACAACGAAAACAGAGAAAGGGAGAGATAGACAGAGAGAAAGAGAGAGGAGGGAGGGGGTTAGGTAAAACGAAGGAGAGAGTAAAGTCTATTTAGGTACGTAGAGAGTGATTTGCATCTTCTAAAAAGCGAACTATTGCGACGGAATGTCTATCGGGACTTCTACGTCGCACAAAGCGGGCTTAAACGCAGGGTGAGGAGTATATACTAGCCCGCTACCCTCCTCATCGTCCCTCTTCACTCCTCTCCCTCTTTCGATCGTCTGGCTCAGCCGATGAACGAGGATAGAGACAGTATTTCCTATCTCTCTTTCACTCTCGAAGCCGACCGACGATAACGCTTTTAACCCGGAAGAAGGGGAGGAGAAAGAGAGATATAGATGGAAATTGGAGGGGGAGCGGGACAAAGCGCGGAGGGAAAAAGCACGTGCGAGCGAGAAAGTCGCGCCGGCGACACGTCGATCTCCCCCTCGTATGTCACGTTGCTCCCTGTCGTAGCGCGACGAACAACCGAGGGGTTTTAGTCGTCCCGTTAGAGAGAAGTGACCTCGCTTAGGACAATCTGCATGTCGAGCGCAGAGGAATCGCGAGATATCTCTTCGTCACGGAAAAAGAAGAGGGGAGAGGGAGAGAGAGAGAGAAACGGAGCGTTGAAAACACGCGAACAATTTCAAAGGCGAGAAATCTCAGGGAAGGAAATTCAGCGAGATACTTTTACTTTCTTCAAATTTTCACCGCAGAAACAGCTCAATCGCGGAAGCTCAAGACTTCTAGTCCTTCGTCGCGGCTTTCTCGATTTATGACGTCAGAAGAACGAGAAAGTACACGTTGAAATTTTCCGAAATACGTTGAAATAAAATTATATATTTACAAAATAGTACTTGCAATCAATCAAACAGTAAAACAATACGAACACTTTCCTTTTACTCTAACAACTAATAACTAATCGTAAAATTAACGCGACAAAATCATCACAAAATAAGTTAAAGAGTAAGATTGCATGTTAAATTAATTTCAAATTATTTATTAATTTTTTGAACAAAAGGCAAGTGTTTGGACTATTTTACAAGTCTGCTTCGATTGGAAATATTATTTTACGGATACATGTTTTTATTTCAACGTATTTTGAAAAAATAGTGTGCACTTCCTTGCTTCCAAAGACGAGGAGCTAGGAGCTTTAACGACGCTGTTCAATGTCGAAGAGACCGAGGGA